GCATGCAACTCTGCCATGTCATCTCAGTGTTCCTTGATTTCAAGTCCTCCTTTGTGTTCATGAGGTTACAAATTGTAATTCTCAGATGTATCTCGAAAGCTGAGAGGTGTCCCACAGGGGTTAGAGCTTTCTTTTTTTCTGTGAGAATTTACATTTGAATTCTTAGGTCTAACTGTGGAAAGAAAGACACATCAATAAATCTATCACAAGCAGGCAGTTTAGGGAAATGGACATAAGTCCTTGGCAACACACTGTCCCTTTTACCTACCGAAACGCATATGCTATTCAAGTGTGTTTACTCACTGTGCCTACCACAGTGCCTGGCAGGATGTCTGCAGTGTCTGAAACCTGTTAGATGATGAGTAAATATTTTCCAAATTGTCGTTCTTCGTGGGTAGGAGTACACCTTCTTTGCCAGATTATAAACCCGGAGGAATTCAAGTGTTCTTGTCCTCCAGCTCTGTTTATCATTATTTTTTATGAAAAATATAAGTAAACCTTTGAAAGGAAGCTGCATTCCACTTTAATAATTTCTGACACACTTTATGGAGTAAGTATGAAAATATTAATTGCCTCTAGGAAAGAGTATATTACTGGGTCATTTTACTTTCAGGATAATTACAATATTTATTAATGAATATTTTTAATTCTTCAAAATCCTGTTCCATATACAATTTAACATAGTCACATTCAGTAAATTTACAGCTTCAGTAGATCTATAAAAAACTGTGACATAGGTGTGCAATAACATAAGATCTATCAAGCAAAGAAAACCATTATTTTCAAAGTTTTAAAAATAGAGCTTTGATGTGAAAAATAGAAAGAAATACTCTATTGGATGAGATAAAGTACTATGCATATATACCCAAACACATATAAAATCTGTTAGTATAAGTAATTATTAATATTACAAGTTCATTCATTCAACAAATATTTATTGGATATGACTATGTATAGTAATGTATATGTGTTCACATAGAGTCATAAAAAGTGTGCCTGTTAAATGTCTTTGTAACCCCTTCCCTGACATTTCATTACCAAATAGCAGCAAGGCATCCATCCTTGATACAAATCACCCTCCCACTCCATTATGTTTCTGCTACAGGCATTCCCCTGCCTTCTTCTCCCATCTTCCCATAGCATCCATCATCAATCATTCTTGGCTACAGGATACTGCATTACTAATAGGATGAGGAAAGTTGAGACATAAATTTTCCAAAGAAAAGAGAAAACATAAGCATAATAATAATAAAAAATATTCCTTTTCCAAGATGAAAATTCTATACATATGCAAAAACAAAGTACAGCAGATTCATTGCATTTCCTTATTCTGAGGTGGAGTTTCTCAGCAGATCATAAAAAGTATAGTGAATAGAAAGTAAGAACTAGACATAATTAATAAAAGTTATTTGGACATAACTGAAAAAATAGAAATTATTTTGTCTTTTTTTATTTTACTCCAAAATACTCTTTCTAGAAATCACCTAATGGGAAATATTTTTAAAACAGAAAAATTAAATGTTCAAATATGTTCAACACAGTTATTAAAAGCTGTGGAAAATTTAGAAACCACACAGAAGGCTCAACATTGAGGAAGTGGATAACTAAAATATATTGCATATTTTTGAATAATGTGTTGTTTTAACAGAGGTGTTAAATAAATATCAGTAAGAAAAAGTCTGAAATATTTTTACTTCTAAATTGATAGCTCTGTAGTTGAACCTATTTTTCTTTATGATTGACATGCTTAAAAGAGATTTAAATCTTAGACTGGTGGGGGTGAGAGGTGACTTTATGATTTGTAAAATCCATTTAAAGCTGATATTCTATGACTTCTATGATTTCCTGGCGGGACAGGGGCAGGTGGGGGGGAATCTCACCCATGAGCTTGTCTGGCACAGGTCTACAGCCAGGGCACCAGGCAACTGTTACTGCACCAAGAAAGAAGTCAATTTCAATATTAAAAGTGTCAACTAATTCAGATACAGTAAGTGGGTTTTTTTGGGGATATAAACAGTACCTGTGGAGAAGACCTTTCTCTTGAGCCTTAAAAGTGCTACCACATATCCTGTTTGGCAACAAAGTCTATGAAGTTACTTATCTGTGGCTAATTAAACCCAAGGGATATTTCACCATCATTACCAGGTCTTGCCAACAAACCAATTATCTCAAGTAAGGTAACTGAACTTCAGAGAAGAACTTTTACAGCATACATCTTTGTGAACTTCATCCTGATGTCCACATGAGAACAAAACATGATGAGAGAAAAAAAAAAGTTAACATATATGAACTTAGATATTTAATAGTAAATGAGCTTTAATATGGAGTCTACATATTTAATATTACATATATAAACAGTTAGTTGGGTAACTTTTTTTTATTTTTCATTATGATATTTTATTTTTTAATTGATGTTAAATTTTATGTTAAAATTGATTTAAATTTAACCGATGTTTAATTACCATTCCTGTCCATGAAAATATTTTTTCAGAGAGGAATTTCTTGGATCTATACCAGGGAAGTCTGTTCCCAGAATACAAATCCAAGGACAGAATAGTTCAAAATCCTGAAAAGACAGCAACACAGATTCTCAAACTTGAAAGGTAAAACAGAATGAAAGCAGGAGAGATTATATATGGATCATATCACTATTGATCAGAAACTAGTTGAGGTGTACTTTGACCTTTGATAGACTCAGGGACTGATTTCACAGAAACCAGGTACCTGCCAAAGTGTTCTCTTGGCAGCTTTATGCACTTGGATAAGTGCAAGAACATGTTCTCAAAATAACAAAGCACTCAAGGGCAGAGTTTATATGTCTCGTTGTTGTTCAGTCAATAAGTCAGGTCTCATTCTTTGCGACCCATGAACTGCAGCACACCAGGCTTCCCAATCCTTCAATATCTCCCAGAGGTTGCTCTAACTCATGCCCATTGCTTCAGTGATATCATCCAACCATCTCATCCTGTCACCCAGAGGCAACATGTCTTAATCCAATCCTAAGATGCTTTTATACCAGGAGGGTATTTTTTATGTTATCTATCAGAAATAGAAAAGTTTAGGGGAATAAGATAATTTTACTTCTAATAGGAGTATAAACAAATATAGAAATATTTATAACACATTATTGGCAATGGGAAGAATCACAGAACTTTGAAACAGCTTCCAAATCACCTAAGTACTTTTAGAAATTTAAAGGTTATAGAATAAAATGATGGCATAGTGAGAATTAAAACCCACATCTCCTGATTCTGAAGCTAGTGTCCTAGATTTCTTTCTGATTAAAAGATCTAAAGCACTTTTTTTAAATTTCTTCCACTGAGAAATAAAGGAAACTTTATTCAATGTCTGTCAGGTATGTGGAGGCATTAATATTGCTAAGTACACAAGATGAATCCAATTAGAATTGAGAAAAGGATGAAGGCATATTTTAGGACTTGGGGTGGCAAAGAGTCAGACATGACTGAGTGACTTCACTTTCACTTTTCACTTTCATGCATTGGAGAAGGAAATGGCAACCCACTCCAATGTTCTTGCCTGGAGAATCCCAGGGATGGGGTAGCACAGAGTCGGACACGATGGGAAGTGACTTAGCAGTAGCAGCAGCAGTATCTATGCTGTAAGTTGAGTTCTAACAGGAAACATGTGATTCTGGAGCCTTAAATATGATGCTTATAATATTGTATCTGATCCCCAAGACTGATATCGAGCATTTGTGAAGAGAAAGAAAACTTTCACCCAATCATTTAAGTCAAGAACATTCAGCTTATAGAGAATCAGATTAGCATTAATTATATAAAGCAAAATAATCTGTTTCCAAAATGTTAAACATTCATTGTGCTAAAAAAAACTTGTACCCAGACATTTTAATTTAATGCAGGCAGACTCTGGGGCCTTATGTGATATGAATGACTTAATTAGGCATTTCAATCATTGGAGGAGGCCAAGTGATCCAGATACAGAGACTGGGGTTGAACAATTTAATTTTTCAGTTCAAAATTTGATCAGAATATACAAAACCAACCATATGGCACAATCATAGTATATGTTAACAAATTTCATTTTTTACAGATTTGAAAATGCAGCTATGATCATGTCTGTGAAATTTTAAATTAATTTTTTATCAGATTCCACTATAGAATCTTAACACAGTTTGATTACATCTATAAGAGATTGAAGCTATGCAATTCTCTTGGTGTTTAAGATCTATACACTATTCCACTAGGATAAGGATTAGTTCATATAGCTGTTTCAGAAAAAAGTAGTTTAAGTAACTCAAGGAAAATTATTTTTTAGTTGTAATCACTGATATTGAAAATATTCTTTGATTCTCTCTAAAAAAAAAAGAATATCGTGCCCTACACAACCTCTTCCAATTAAGGTCACATTTTTACTCCAAAGTTTCCTCATGGCATTTTTCATCTCTGCATTTCTCAGGGTGTAGATTAAGGGGTTCAACATGGGAGTTATGAAAGTTAAAACCACAGTCATGGATTTATCAATGGGTGGGTTGAATTAGCCCTGGCATACAGGAAGATACAGGGAACAAAGAATAAAATGACGACCATCATATAGGGTGCACAACTGTAGGAGGCTTTGTGATTCCCTTCCAAACTATGAGTCTTCAGGGATTGTAATATGACCCCATAGGACACTAAGAGAATGAATAAGACAACAGTGCAAATTGCCCCTCCATTAGCTATCATAGAGAGTCCAATGAGATGTGTGTTGCTGCAAGAAAGTTTCAGTAAAGGGTACATGTCACAGACAAAGTTGTCAATTACATTGGGACCACAGAAAAGGAAATGATAAATAAAAAGCAATTGAACCAGTAAGTGCAGAAAGCCTCCAGTCCAGGCCACCAGCAGCATGAGGACACATACCCTCCGATTCATGATGATCAAATAATGAATAGGTTTGCAGATGGCTACATATCGGCCATAGGCCATCACCACCAGGAGAATGACTTAAGCACCAGCAGTTAAATTATCTATAAACACTTGAGTCATACAAGACTGGAAGGAAATAGTCTTTTTCTCATGAAGCAAGTCAGTGATCATTTTGGGAGCAATGGCGGTCGAATAGACACCATCTATAAATGACAAATAAGCCAGGAAAAAATACATGGGGGAACCAAGTGACCTGCTGGCTGCGATGGTCACCATGATAAGAAGATTGCCCAATATTGTTGCAATGTAGATGCGTAAGAATAAGACAAATAGAACTTTTTGCATCTCAGGATTTTGTGTGAGCCCCAGGAGGACAAACTCCGTCACATTGTTCCTATTTTCCATGTGTTCTTTAAAGCTGTGGATCAAGAGTCAGAGGCTGCAAACAAATGGCCAGTGATGACTTTCAGAGGATTGCAAGCTTTGTGTCAAATACGTGATGCCTTACTCACCAGTGTTGGCTCCGTGAGATCTCACACATAGAAATTCTAGAATGTCAGAATTGGACTCTTTTCCCACAAGTACTTCATTCATTTTATCAAATTCCTTGCTTCAACTATAGTGGTGAGACTTTAGTTTTCTAACTGGGAAGTATATATGAGTGGGTGTTAGCTGATGTACCAGACGACAAGAAAGTTGCTTTCTCCAGAATACCCCCCACAAAGATCAATTTTTTTTTAATTTATATATCATTTCTTTCCTTTCTTTCTTTTCTTTTCTTTTTTTGTTTTTTGAGAGCAATTTTGGCATTCTGAGATATACCATGAAAACAATCACATCCCTAATAGCTTTATTTACATATTTACATAAACTAATACCTAGGCATGGGGCATAAAATTGTAAACCGATGCTTAAATAGCATCCTTTCTGAGTTGCCATGAGCTCCAAAATCAGTCAGTCACCCTCTGCAGTGAAAGAACCAGGCACATAAGTGCTCAATAAATGCTTATAAGATTCCACTTAATTACAATAAATTTCAAAACACATAAGCAAGCAGATGAGAACAGATAAATGTATGAACTTCTTCCCATCCAAAAATCCCATGTCTCCTGTTTCTCTTGAATTGGCAAGTGGATATTTTACCACTGAGCCACCTAGGAAGCTCCCCCCACCCTGCCCTGGCCCTGCCAAAGACACAGTAAATAGACATTTATTATAGTCTGGGTTATTGGAGGAAAACAATAAATACAAATCTATGTTAATTAGCACTACACAGACATGTTTCTTGATTTGCAAAACTGTTTAGATTTCATTATTGCTAGCCATAGCTCAATTCAGAATGCCAAAATAAAAATTTTAGGCAGAATCCTGGTATAGTATAAAGAATTCCATGCCAAAAAACTAGAGCTATTATTTGATTTTGCTCAGGTATTTTAGGAAAACTCATACTTTTCTTGGAAAGATGATGGTATTTCCAGATGCTGTGAGTTTCTGAATTTTTGTCATTGCAGCCTTTATCCTAAATGACATGCTAACACTTTTGCTGGTAGATCATCTTTATATTAACCAGAGTTAATTAGTGTGTTTTAAAGGTTATTTAACTATTACAGTAATCAATAAATTAAACTCATTATTTGGTTCATATTGTAAGTTCTTGGTTGTTTGAGTCTATGTGGAAAACAGGACAATCCTTCTCACTTGAGGAAAATAAATCCATGGCCAGTTTTACATGTAATGTGTGTAACTTCATTTTGGCAAAATTATTTTAAATGTGCTCCATCTCAGTGTCTAATTTACAGACTGTCATTTGTGAAAGGCCGAAGATTGTTCTCTTTTTTGTGCATTTGGCAATTCAATTTATGTTCAGATATCAGAGGGAAAATAAAGTGTGGAAGAGAGAAAATAAGAGATGACTGAAAAAAGCTAGATACAAAACAGCAAAGGCTAGAAACTAAATAAAAAATGCTTTGAAATAAATCAACAGTTTGGGTTGGGGGTACTGAATGAAAAGGGAGTGGAGGATTTCCTGAACTATCAAGCTAGAGATGGATTGGAGGGTAACTCAGAATCAGCATCAGGATTTGCCTCTCAGAATCTCTCTACTTCTAGATCAAATAAAGAAAAGAAAAGAAAATTATGGAACACATGTAAATCCATGGCTGATTCATGTCAATGTATGGCAAAAACCACTACAGTATTGTAAAGTAATTAGCTTCCAACTAATAAAAATAAATGAAAAAGAAGAGAAAAGAAAATTCTGAACATATGTGAATTGAAGAAACCAGTTGCCTCAGAGTTCCATCTTCAAGGTCTGGCTGTTCATTGTATACATACATAGTTAAATATCTCCACTGACAATGACATAGCCACATATTCATTGGTAATGGAAAAATAAATACTCATGGTTCTTAGAAGTTGTCCTGTGTTCAAGAGGTAACTTCGGGTAGGAGAGTCTAACCCTTTGATCTGCTGAGCACTTAAAACTTATGTGTTTATAGCTTGTTTTATGCTGTCATCTGTTGAGTTTGTCAGAACAATAAGCATGTCTTAATAACTGTTTCTCTGGAATCTGAGTGTACCTCATATATTTTAGGTGATCAAGAAATAGTTCACTATCAAAATATTCTTATGAACACATTTATTCCTCTAAACAGTTTAAACCATTAATTTGACAAGACATGATACAAAATCCTATACTTTATCATATTATGTTTTATTAAAATAAATATATCTGCTTCAAACACTTGAGATATTCTTCAAATTTCTTAATATAATCAATTGGAACAAATAAATCTTTAAATAAAATCTTTAAATACATCTCAGAACATGTAAATCCATGATAACTATCCCACAATGATAAATGAAATAAGATAAACTAACTAGGTCTACACAGTGACAAATTCAACAACAGAAGGAGGAAAAACAAAACATCTACATGACATGCAAAGTGTAAAATACTGAGAAACATTTTCATTCAGCAATATATTGGAAATTATAAACTGAAATAAATTTCAGTACACATCCTTTTGAAACATGTGATCACAATTCATGCCTAAATATGTTTCTATTTAACTGTCTATATAGTAAAACCTGGGGCTTCCCTTGTAGCTCAGTCGGTAAAGAATCTGCCTGCAGTGCAGGAGGCCAGGGTTCCATCCCTGGGTCAGGAAGATCCCCTGGAGAAGGGAATGGCAACCCACTCCAGTATTCTTGCCTGGGAAATCTCATGGACAGAGGAGCCTGGCCGGCTGCCACCCATGGGGTCGCAAAGAGTTGGGCACCAACTGAGAGACTAACACTGTTGTTGTCACTGTCACAGTAAAACCTGCTTCCCATGTGAGCTATAGTGACCATTAAAATGATGCAGCAGAAATTTTGAGGTTCTAAAAATGCCTCAACCCTGAATATGGTTGAACAGACTTTGGAAACAAATTCACACACACAAAACTATCAGAGATGTCATATTGCCTAACTTATGTATAGTTTTATAACTTTTGTTTTGTTTTATAAATATTTTTATAAATATAAAATCTGTTTTATAAATATTGTGACCCTAAATGCATGCAATGTACTTTTTGAGAGTGTAGGTTCTAAACTCTGGTTTGGAATTTGAGCCTCAAAACTTGTACTTACAAATTTTGTGACCTGAGTAAATCATTCAGCATAATCTCTGTAATGAAACATAAAAGAATCAAACACACTAGGGTTTAAATAGAATAATGCAAATGAAGATCTTAAGAGAAGGCGAGGGTGGGATGTTTCAAGAGAACAGCATCAAAACATGTATATTATCTAGGGTGAAACAGATCACCAGCCCAGGTTGGGTGCATGAGACAAGTGCTCGGACCTGGTGCACCGGGAAGACCCAGAGGGATCGGGTGGAGAGGGAGGTGGGAGGGAGGACCGGGATGGGGAATACATGTAAATCCATGGCTAATTCATTTCAATGTATGACAAAAACCACTGCAATGATGTAAAGTAATTAGCCTCCAACTAATAAAAATAAATGAAAAAAAATAAAAAAGAAAAAAAATTGCCAACAATTGTCTAGCAAATAATAGGCATGAAATAAGTTCAAAATATGTTTTATTATGTTTTTCCTTTATTTTATTAGTTGGAGGATAATTACTTTACAATATTGTAGTGGTTTTTGTCATACATTGACATGAATCAGCCATGAATTTACATGTATTCCCCATCCCGAACCCCCCTCCCACCTCCCTCTCCATTTAACTTTAGTGCCACATCTCTATAATTAGTTTCACTTGAGTTTTCTCAAAATCTAGTCTTTTATATAACTATCCAAAGATGCTTTCCTGAGGGATGGAGAGATTGACTGGGTCATTATCATATGCAGTTTTAAAAGATGTCCAGTTTTGCTATTCACATGATTGTGTGGAAATTCCCTTTTATGTCTTTCTCCATAACTCACTCTCCTCTTTGAAATGTGTCAATACATTTAACTTTAATCTGAGGGATCTTCTTTCCATAAATTATGAGGTCAACTGACTGCATAATGCCATGTGTCTTGTTTCATTCACAATATTCATAAGACCCTAAAAATGAGAATATATCCAGTTCATTAACCCCCTGAAGATTTAGATGCTGACATTTTCTCTAAGACTTTAATAGACCTTGTATATAACACAATTCATGAATTGTATTTCCATAGACACTAAAATTCACTTTCCAGCTAGGTATAAGTACAAACTGATGAGTCTAACAAGTAACTAAAGGTCTCTGAATGTAAGTTTTTACATTTCAAGTTTTGAGTTCCCTTTTGTAATAAGAGGCTACTGATTTACATATCAAAATGTTATTTGGAGTTTATACACAAAAGAATAGGAAGCAGAGACTTTAATATTTATACACCAGTGTTCATAGAAGCATTTTTCACAATAGCCAAAAGGTGGTGACAACTCTAATGACCATCAATCAGTGAATGTGCAAATGTGCAAATAAATTATGGTATATACAAACAATGGAATCATACAGCCTTAAATAGGAAGGAAATTCTGATACATGCTATCAGATGAATCTTGAAGAAATTAACAGTAACAGATGAAGAAATTAAAGTAACAGATGAATTTGAAGAAATTATGTTAAGTGCAGTAAGCCAGACACAGAAACATTTATATTTTATGATCTCCCCTTTATGAGGTACCTAGAATAGTCAAATTCGATGAGATGGAAAGTACAACAGGGACTGGGGGGCTGAGGAGACAGGGCATTACTTTTTAACACATAGAGTTTCAGTTTGAGATGATGAAAAAATTCTGTTAGATGGAGTGTGTTCTTGTATATTTTACCACAACTAAAAAATATATATATGAAAAGGAGTTAAATATCTACACAGAACGAGAACATTAAAAATACCATGTACAAGGTAACAATTTTTAAAGAAC